CAAAGTATATTTAATTTCACAAAATATGTATTGCCTGAAATCAGATGCACAAAACTTTATTGCATTCCATTAATTCTATTATACATTAGCAACAATTACATTACAATATTTATTAAAAAAATATATGTCATGCTAATATAAAAATAAATATAAATATAGATAAAATAATAAATAAATAAATAAGTCTTAATCTTAAGGTACACAATAACACAACAACATAAGATAATATTCTCAATTAATGATGTACAAAAAATTTGATAATAACATACTTACCGTTACCATTAGTCAGTATCAAAAGTTATAGGTTTTGTGATAGTTGCCTAGCTTGGCAGGAGAATTGGCAACTGCAGATATTTGAAGACAAACTGTGTGGAAGGTCTATGTTCAGCGGTGGAGGACATTTGTTAGGCTGTAAATGTATTAATTAACAATATCTATAGCTTAATATATACTTTTATGTACTTTTAATTTTTGGTATGAATAATATTATCATTACATTTACATATACTTGCTATTTAATTAAATCAATTGATATTGTTTTAATTGTTATAGGTATTGTATTTATGCACAGATACACATACACATACTTGAAGTTCGCTACTGGTAGTGCTTATGGGTAACCAACAAAATTTAGCAGTGTATGCTCAAAACATTTTAAGCCTCATTGTTTTAGGTGGACTAAATATGCTTAACTTATGTAATTTATAATATAATTAAGATATTTTTTTTTAAATGTTATAATTTCTTGTTGTATCTCTCCATAAGTGATATAAGTTTGATCTTGTTGGTAGTTATGATTTTTGACATTGTTCTGTATGTATTAAAAATTGACTAGCATTGCTTATTTTATTTTCAAATGCTGACATTCTGTATTATTATGACTTGTAATAATTGGGTGGCATGACAATGACAAAATATTTACTTATAGATGTATTGATTAAACATGAATCCTCATTTACAAATGTTGGAACTTTATCTGTACTGCCATGTTTTATGCAAATAAAGATTTAAATAAAATAAATAAATAAGTAATTTAAAGTTCTGACCTAAATATACAAATGAATAATTTAATATGCAATAATAATTGTAAAATTGACTGGGAATGCCTACCAATGGGACATTTAGTCCACCCTTAATCCCTTTTATAAAGGTGTTATAAACATTAATGTGTAAATAAATTAAGAAATAAATGTAATAATTATGATAATTTCTATTTAATTGTCATAAAAATAATGTAATAAAGATGTTTTTGACAAGAGATAAGTATTACATATCGTGTATAGTTTAGGAGTTGTACCTTATTATTTATACCATTAAAATATATTATACACGAGGCAAATTATATATATACACTCCCTTCTAATCTGATTCTAACGACCAGCACCCAAGAATTTCTGCCATGTAAAAGTATAAATCAAGTTTACAAATGCATATTTCTGAGAAATTCTAAGGCTACTCAAACCAAGAATTACAACGAATGCTCTAGAAAGAAGACAAAAATTTTGTTAAATTTGTTGTTTATTAATGTGATGAAAAATTAATAAATAATCGTTTGTTTATTTTTATTTTATTGAATTATATTTAATATATAATTGTGTTTTCATTTGTTTTACTTAATGTAACATTGTTAATATTTCTATTTTGTGTAACTACACAAAATTTAGTTCATTTTCCTTTTTAAATTTCAATATATTTATTACAGTCTATCAAAAGTCCACTGTTTAACATAAACATTATTATAGTTATTTGGCATAGTTTCAACGCTTGGAAAGCGGGTTGTCAACCATTATTTACCTGTTATCAGGATAATGCTGCTGTTTATCTTCTTTGATGTTTCCCTATGTCGCCTCATACACCACCCATGGAATGATATGAGGTAGCAGATAATCTTACAGTGCATGGTAAATTAAAATAGAATATTATAAAACATTCGTTTTTATTTTATATACCAACATATTACAAAAAAAAAATCCTTTGTAGATGCTTTACAACGTATATTAACTAAAACATTTTACCACCTTAACCATTAGGTAACATGATGAAGCCACCTAACAATAAGTAAGTCAGCTAAAAAAGGCCTTCCCTTGCCATAGTTGGCCACCGCAGTTTTTATTATTTTAAATTTTCATCGGGAAAGTGCTGCTGCCCCATGGCATGCATACCTATACCTATAACCTTATTAGGTTTTTAACTTCGCGGTATGTTTAAAGCATATTGCACTGATACATCTTAAAATAGAGTTCATTATTGTCTGGTAAGTGTACGGGGGAGATCCCTTTAGATTACTTTGTTCGGGTTGTTTTACGAATTAGGTAGCTTAGGCCATGTATATATAGTGTTGTTCGTTCATAGAATTACATTTACTAATTACTAGCCTTCTTCTGTTTTGTTGAGAACTGTTGTGCTTTATGTCCAAATTTGTTAGGTAGCGTTTGCTTCTAAATACGAAAGAAATTAAATCACTCAGTGAAGAAACAGAAGAATTTTGGAGAAGCGTGAGTAGCAAAAATATATAATCATAAAATTTTAGTTTAAATTATAAAGACATTATTTTGATCGCAAAAAAAAATGAAACGAAAAAGAAAGATATCTAAAAGAACGTTTTATGATACATTTCTAAACCCACTCCAGATTTTTAGCTGGCAAATCTACCGATTTTTTATTTTTCACTATTGCAACACTGCAGGAGCGCAAGACCTTCCTTTTGGCCTAAAGGTCTAGATGCCAGGCCATAAACTCCAAAAAAAAAAGACCTTCCTTGCTCCCTAGATTGCATGGGGGGTCAAGTCACTATGGAGCCGATGCAAACGTCGGGCAAAATAAGCGAAACAGAGACAGCGCTATACGCAAGACAGAGAAATCACTATTGAACCAGGTTACGCATTGTATTTCAATTACAGTTTAGAAACTTTTATTTTTGCACTATAATATCTTTGTCACCTGCCCATTAAAAATTATCTTTATTTATCTTATAAATTATAAACTATAAATTTTATAATATACATAAGAAATAAATATTGTTTAATCCATGAAAGTATAAATTAAATTATACGTTCCGATTATTTTTATGTCCGATTGAAATGATTACTCTGTGCAACAAGCTCTGTAGCCGAAAATATAAATGTATCTATGGTTATTGTGAAATAAAAACGTAAACTAGATTATTATTTATTACATATTCATAAAATTAAGAAAAGAACAAGTTACAAAGTACATTTTACATCAATTAGATATTATTTTAAACGGGAATGTTTCAAATTAAATGGAGTTAGTTTTGTTTAACTTTTCTAAGCCAAATTCAAAACTGATGTCGATTTAGTATATTTCGTAGAAAAATAACTTAAGTGTGGTAAATACTAGCCAGTGAATATTTAATTTATGGTGATTTATTAGAGTTGTTTTACTTAATGACGATGTTTAACGAATAATAATGGATTACTGAAAACGGTGTGTTCTAAGATGCGTCTATAATCATCTAAAATTGAGTGCCCAAGTTTATTTCTGTGTCTATAATATTACTAGTCAATAATATATTTAAATCTCTATGAAAATAATTGTTTTATTTCTGAACTACTATTAACCCTTAAACGGATTTTGTCCGTTTTTTAGGACGTGTCAATAAAATGGCCACAATTCAAATTAAAACGAAATCTGGCGCGCTTTGAGTATAACGGGGCGTCTGTTAGGCTATCTCTTTCCTACTTACGCGGTGAGAAGAGATGCGCACGCGACGCGTGACAAGTAGCGACCAGTTTAACAAGCGTAATAGCGGAGAGCTTTTGTGCTCTACATTTGAAAATCGAAAATGTAAGTATTACTCCATTTTACGACACTGTCGCGATTAAATATGTTTCATTAACAGATAAAGAACATTAAACAGTAGTTATTTTGTAAAAAGTACTTGTGATTTCTACTTGATTCGCGTGTAAACCTATGTGTCACAAAAAACGGACATTGCCCGCAAACTCTAAAATTAGTAATATTAATGTTTGTCCCAAAAAACGGACATTGCCTGATAACCCTTTTATGTTGTGTTTTTCATATCTGTCACAAAAAACGGACAATGCCTGATAACCCTTTTATGTTGTCTATTACATATCTGTCACAAAAAACGGACAATGCCTATATTGGAACGCTATAATAATTCTTTTCTAAACAGTATTATATATCATAAATGTCATTTTTTTCAGCGATATGGCGGGAAAAAGATGGAGGTCAAAGAAAATTTTGACTCTTTTACCTCCTTTAGAGTCAGATGATTCAGATTTGGAGTCTGACGATGACGCAGAAAGGATAATAGGAGCGCGTGAGTTTTTCTCTCATAACTATAGTGGATCCTCACCAGTGTCTTCACCGCCAAGATCAGTTTCTGCTGGTCTTTATGATCTACTGCAAGATTTAAGCGACTCTGATGACCTTGATCCAGAACCACTTGCACCAGGAGTAAGGACGCGACAGCCACTAACGTCAGAATCGTCGCCAATCGTTGCTACTACCCGCCGTTCTCATCTACCACCCTGCTACGTGCCGGAATCGTTATACTCGACTCCTATTGGAACGCCACTGGCACCAGGAGTAACGACGCGTAGTAACAGACAAACAGCAAACGTTGAATCGTCACCAGTGCCAATTCGTCCACCTGTTTCTAGAAAGCGTAAAATGAGTCAACTAGAGTTTTCATTCAAGAAAACGAAATATACTGGTGCCGTCGATGTGGATTCAGGCACTAGCTTTCTTGAGCAGCATGAAGTGATACGTCCGGTGGCATATTTAAAAAAATTGTTTACCGACGATTTACTAACTTTCATTATGGAAATGACTAACCTGTATTCCGTACAGAATACCGGTAAATCTATATGCGTGTCAAAAAAGGAAGTAGAGACGCTACTTGGTATTGAGATTATCATGGATATCGTGAAAATGCCATCTATCGATGACTACTAGAGCAATGAACTTAGATTTAAGCCCATTGCAACTGCTATATCCCTAAAACGATACAAATGTATCAAGCGCTATCTTCATTTTGCGATAACACAAATGTCAACCACAGTGATAGCTACCACAAAGTGTCTCCTGTGATAGAGCATGTACGTAAGCAATGTCTCAAAATAGAGGAGGAAAGAGCATTTGCTATAGATGAGATGATCATACCCTATAAAGGTAAAAAAGCAGGTCACAGGAAACAGTATAATCCCAAAAAACCACACAAATGGGGATTTAAATTTCTGGTTCGAGCTGGGTCCTCGGGGATGGTCTACGATTTTTTCCCTTACGATGGTTCAAACACATTTCAGGATACACAGTTCACAGAATGGGAAGAAAATTACCTTGGTGTTGGAGGTAAGACAGTCATTAGATTGTGCAAGACAATATCTAATCCCACTCTGTGTACAGTATACTTTGACAATTGGTTTACGTCACTGGAATTACTTTACCACTTGCGGAATGAATGGGGTGTATTATCCTTGGGCACAATAAGAAAAGACCGATTGCGTAACTGTTGTTTAAGTAGTGACAAGGTAATGAAGAAGAAGGGACGAGGAACTTACGAAGTAATGTGTGACAATGACAAGAAAATAGCAGTAACTAAATGGGTAGACAATCAATGCATTCATATTGCCAGCTCATTCTGTGCAGAAGATCCGGTTACTACAATAGAAAGATACGATAAAATAGAGAAGAAAAGAATTTCTGTGCCTTGTCCAAAAGTCATCAAAGTCTACAATGCTCATATGGGTGGAGTGGATATTGCGGACATGTTGACTGCATTATACCGCATTCACATGAAGACTAGGCGTTGGTATATCTCAATATTTGCCCAGGTATTAGATATTGCCCTAAATAATAGCTGGTTGTTGCACCGTCGTGATTGTTCGCAACTTACAGAGAAATCACTGCCACTAAAAAAGTTCCGCATGCAGGTTGCCCTTGCTCTAATCCAGGGCAATAATACAGCATCTCAGAGAGTTACATTAGATGATGCACCAGCTGATCTGATTGCTAAGCCATTCGTACCGCGACCCATAGAAGAAATTCGTTACGATCGCTTTGATCATTTTATTGAATTCACTGCACAGGGTCGATGCCGTTTGTGCAGGCACGGCAAGACCACTGTTGTATGCTCTAAATGCAACCAAAGACTCTGCTGTACATCAAAAAAAATTGTTTTCGTATATTCCACAAGAAGTAAGAATAATTAGTTTTTAGTTTGTTTTATGAGAAGAATATTATAATTTTGTTAAAAAAAGAATAATTTGTTTTAGTTTGTTTTTTGAGAAGAATGTTTTAATTTTGTTGAAGAACGAATAATTTGTTTTTTGTTCGTTTTTTAAGCATAATGTTTTAATTTTGTTACTCTTCATGTCTAATTATTTTGCATTTATAATGTAAGTCTGAGGTTAATGGTTTCTAAATAATTAAAAGATCTCAAAACTGTGATTAAGTTATGTTATTGTTACGTTAAGTATTGTTTTCTATGAGTATTTTTATTATGTTAAACGGACAATGTCCGTTTTATGTGACAGGTGTTGAGAACCTATAGTACTGCATAATCGAGCAATGTCATTTTTAGGGTACATATAAAAAAACAATGAAAATTAAAAAAAAAACTGAAAAATTTCAAATTATTTTTCTTTTCCATACCTAATAGACAGTGTATTTCGCATTTTATAGTTTAAACAACGCGTAAAATATGGTGTGCCCGTTTAAGGGTTAACCGTGTTCCATTCTAATTTTCTACTTATGTATCAATGCATAGCTAATTGTTAACTTTAATCTTCCTCTTAAGGTTTGTGTTATTAAATATTTAAAATTTCCAATATGTTATTCATTTATTACTATTTCCATTCCAATTTTTTACTAATGTAGAATGTAATTTCTACATTCGTAGAAAATTGGAATGGAAATAGTAATATATTATGATTAAAAATAGAATATTGAATGTGGGTGTGGGCAATGAGCATTATACATATACACACGCACACATTCACATCTGTTAGTTCATGGATCAAAAACTGGCGCGCTAGTGTTGCAAGCTGTTGGCATTTTTATTGTATGAAGTTTTCATTCTTCCCGTCAGGGTACATGTATTCTGTGCTAGATTGGCCCTGCCGCTGTTGCGTGTGTAGCGCAATTGGGCCAATTTCGTTCATTTCGTTAACGCGTAGTGTTTCTATATAGTTTGTGATTTCGTTGCGACTTTCGCGAGGAGCACACGCAGAACCGCAGAAAGAACGTTATTTGAACGTTGTACTTACAAGTAACATTACTGGGATTTGTTACCTAACTTATCATACGGGCTAGTATGGGAAAGTAAATATTCCAATAATATTAAAATTGCTGGAATATAAATAAAATGTCATTAAATAAATATTTAAACAAAAATACAAATTTTAGTAAATAAATTTTATTAAAACCATCATTAGAAAACTATCCTGGCTATTTGTAATAGTCATATTTAATTGTCTTTGATAGCCTAAAAATAGCGTGGCGGAGCTATGCTGCAGCTTCTAAGCACTATATTATGGTGGCAATTATTAATTAATTGGTTGTTTTATTGATAAATGTGGGTCTATAGGCCACAGTGTCCACTTACCATCAGGTGGACTGTGCTCATTTGTCACCCTTATTCTATATAAAAAAGAGCCAAGGCTATATATACTGATTCATTGATATTTCGATAAAACTGGCGCCATTTCCAACGCGTGCGTCCAGCGAGACGTACACCAACGTACACTCTCATACTGAACGGCAGGCGTGCGTGTGTGTAGAGACAGCTCCGATATTGCTCCGATTGCGGTGCTTCCTAGATTGCCCCTGCTGCAGGCAGGTCAGTAGCCGGCTTAACCTAATAATTTTCTTTGTTCTTATTACTTTCATCTTATTTTATTTAATAACTCGTCGATAGAATTTACATACATAAATATTTAAAAAATATCTCTGGATAGATAGATCTTTTTACATAGTATTGACTATATTGCAAGCTTAGGGTGATAAGGGGATGCACCTAGTAAGAATGATACAGCAACAATGGAATTTGCAATTAGAAAATCGTCGTCATTATTCGCTGGCAGAATGTCTAGACTCAATGGCTAACTTCTCTCAACTGACCCTTGTTATTTCGAACGGAAAAAAAACGTGTGTGTGTGATGTATGCACGGAATCCCGAATCGGGATTCCGAAACGGAATCTCCAAACGGAATTCCGTATGTATATGGCCAGCCTAACTATAGTGCGCGTAAGATAACTCTGCGCGCGACTGATGGCGTACTTAATGTTACCAGCTTAACTAATATTTTTTTCCTTCATTTAATCTTATTACGAGAATTATATAATTATATCAAATTACATAAATGACCGAATTGATTACCAAAGCTTAGTTAAAAAAAATGTAATGTTCAGCTTAAACTTACAAAGACCTAATAAATATTAAACCTTATATTTATTGTTTAAAATTCGCATAATAAATATATTTCTTGATTGTAACTTCCGTAAGTTTGACACAAGTATCACAAGTTTCTATGGTAAGATTTAAGTTAATATAAATAATTTCTTAAAAACATTTGAAAACGAACGAACGAGTTTGAGAAAAAAAAAACAAAAAAAAGGTCACTTTTATTTTTGGTATTCTTCTCAGCAAAGTCTTTTATTTGGTATCCATATCATTGGAATGCACAAAAAATAACTAGTCCTCCATCTTTGGGAGTCCGCCATATTGGATTTAGAATGAGGTCACTTATTTTCATCTAAACTTAACGTATATGCAAAATTTCCGCTCCATCGAGAACCTAAAAGTTGGTGAAATTTAACTTTCAAATTTTTTTTACATAATTATAGGTGAAGATATTATATGCGTGTTAGAAATGATCATTATTATGATTAATTAACACTGATATTTTGTCTATAATGAATTTTTCAAAAAAGGTATTTTAAAAATATTTATTATAAACAACGAAATCAAATGTCCAAGGAAACCTTGTAAATCTTTTGTTGAATACCTAGATCTATTTGTAAATTTGGTGTAACAATGGTCCTGCAGTGGGTCAACGCCTTCCATTCTCACATCTTCATCAGAATCCACGCTGGTCTTAATCAGAAGACTCGGATGTGTCGGCCTGTGACATTAATTATAAATTTATCCATTTAAACTGGCACCTTTTGTATTCGTAGCCCATAGTCTTTAAGCTACTACTCAATGTTGTTTTGCCATATTTAAAATCAATATCACCTTTCAATTCCAACCAAAGTTTATTTATGGCAGGAATCTCTTTCTTCACAACGTCAACCTCGTTCATTTAAATGCCTCAAAGTGCCACGTATGAAAATCGTCTAAATCATTATTTTTTCCTCCAGTTCCTAGTTTTTCCCCGGCGACACAATTTTAGAAGATGAAGCTACTGCTACATTATGTACCCTCTTCAGTTATTTGGGTGATGGTAAGTTCAGAAACGCCTAAAACATAATAAAAGCAATACATTATAAATACATGATATTAATGACACGAGGAAACTTAAAACGAACAAATCGAGAAAATTAGGGAGTTTTATTTGTCATGGCAGCCCTAAAAATTACCTGTGAAATATGAAACGTGGGCTCTAACTTTGGAAAACGGTACTGTAGGCCCGTTGTCTTCTCGTTCTTCTTCACAAGCACGTTTGACCTTCAAGGTAATATCCCTGCCAGCAATTTTAATCACTTTCGGCATAATGATGACGATTATTTACTGCAAAAACGAATAAAAACACGACACCTAATAATCTGTTTTGACATCTGCCATAAACAGTAAGATGGCGGCACACGATTAGTTCCAATTTTAGCCGCGCGCAGAGTTATCTTGCGCGTACTCTAACACGCCTTCTGACATTTATATTGCAACACAACACATCAATATCAGTTACAATATTACCAGATTTATTATTAACTTATCAAAAATATTTACAACACATCTTAATTTTTTTTTATAGAAATAAGGTGACAAAGGAGCACACAGTCCACCTGATGGTAAGTGGTTGATGTGGCCCATAGACATCCACAACTATCCTCGTTTACGAATCAAAATGCAGATGCGTTGTCACCCGTGAGGATCAAGATGGAATGCCTCGTTTCCAGTAAAAAAGGGTCTCCGTTTCTCTACACTTACCATACGAAACACAGCAGCGTTATGCTGCTATTTTACGCTGGTATTCTGTGCGAGCGTGGTCCTTCCCCGGTTGAGCCGACCCATTCGTACTACAACTATACCAGTAATATAGCTGCAGCATGGCTCTACCACGTAAATTTATTCTTTAAGATTTAACATTTCTCTGAATTTAATAAAATTTACATTTCCTAATGCTTTTGTAAATATATCTGCGATGTTATTTTCTGACTCTATCTTTACTACTTCAATACTTCCTTGCTTAACGTTTTCATGTATAAAATGATAGTGTACCTCAATGCGTTTAGAATTCTTTGTAAGAATAGAATAGAATAATTTTTTATTCAATATAGATCACATGTGTAATTCTTATAGAAAGTCATTTTTACTGGTTCGAAAAAAAACCTCTGTCCTGGGTAGAACCAGCTAGAAATCCAGCGGGACTTTTTCTAAAAGCAAATTTTACATTAATGGTTGTACAAACTATATAAGTACAAAATTTATTTTAGAAACAGCTTGGAAGCGACCACCTCATTCCCAGGGGTTATTATCAACCATGTATTCATTTATACTATAATAACCCTTTTTATATAGTTTCAACTTAACAAAACATTTAAACTCGGAAATAGATAGAGCCTGTACACTTTCCGGGACCCTCTTGTAATAGCGTATACATTGCCCGAGAATGAATTACTGACTCTGTTGAGTCGAGAAACTGGTATCACTAGCTTGTGTTTGTTCCTAGTGTTTACATAATGTTTATCACTTTTTTCACTAAAACTACCTTTGTTTTTGTTACAACAAAAATAGTTTCTAAATCAGCCGCATTTCCCCATAGCAAAATCCCATAAGACATTATGCTATGGAAATAACTGAAATAAGGCTCGACACTAGTGAGACCTCTAATCTATTTTACAGCATAGGCTGCAGAACTTAGTCTGCTTACTAGTTTGGACATATGGGGGCCCCACTGCAGCTTTGCCTCGAGAGTGATGCCAAGAAAAACAGTGGATACAACAGGGCTCAGTTCTTCCCCATTTAAAATCAGATTTTTAACATTTGTTGTTGTAAATTTCATACATTTAGTTTTATTTCCTTTTTTATGTAGATTATTAACGTTAAACCAATGCACTAATTTTGATATAGCATTATTCACTTCGTCACATTTAAATGATTGACGTTTAAGTTTTAAAATCTGAAGTATCATCATAATACTATATCATGACTGGGATAGTTATGATATGGTATTATTTGCTACAAGGGAAGGTAAGTCATTAATATACACTAGAAATAGTAATGGGCCGAGAATCGAGCCCTGAAGGACACCCATTAGTACAGGTGACCCGGAAGAACTTTCACCATTTATAATAACTTTCTGCATTCTATTACTTAAATATGAAATAATAAGTTTAAGCGCTGTGTTCTTGACACCATAGTACTGTAGCTTCCTGATTAATGTCTCATGGTGAACGCAGTCGAAGGCCTTGGAAAGGTCACAAAATATACCCAAAGCATCCTCTGAATTCTCCCATACACAAAAAAATATGTTTAATAAGCTCAACTCCAGCGTCAGTTGTCGAGCGACCCCTTATAAAACAGAATTGATTTCTATGTAGCAATTTATTAATATTAAAGAAACTTAACATCTGATCTAAAATATTTTTTCAAAAATTTTACTAAATGTTGGTGGTACAGAAATTCTTCTAAAATAGGCAGGGTCAAATGTACTACCAGATTTAAATAAAGGTATGACTTTACTATGTTTCATTAAATCAGGAAACACACCAGATTCGACGCTTGTATTAAATATAGTGGCTAGATAAGGTGCTATTATATCTATTATAGATAAAATAACTTTAACGGAAATCTTCCATAAGTCTGCCGTTTTCTTAACATCAATAGTTTTTGGCAGTACTCTATGGAATTTAAAAGTATTTGCACAAGCCTTTACATTTTGTTTGAGCAATGATTCGGCGACAGTAGGAGAAGAGATTAATGATTTAGTTGTCAAAAAAGGAACATCGGTAAAATGTTTCTCAAAAGCTATAGGAACTTCTTGATCAGATCGAGTTAAATTATTGTTAATATTCAATTGAAAATCCGAGTTGCGCGGTTTGACCTTGCCCGTTTCACTATTTATTATTCTCTAGGTCATTTTAATTTTGTTTTTACATAATCTCTAAATATAACGGCAGTTCTCATCTATAAAAAAGTTGTGTTTGTTCGTATGATACGAATGGTAAATTCACAAAATTTGCAATTGTCCAATTTTGGCATTTCTACTTACTGATATATAAAAAAAAATCAAGAATACCCGTTCATAGTCATGGTTAATAAATGAGTTAGAATAGTTGACTTTACCATTGATTTGATTAGTTTTATTTTGAAGATGAGCAATTCCCTCATTTTACCTCGCTAGGTACTCATGAGATACCCCTCATTTGAGGTGAGGAATCACTTCAGCTCACTAGGCGAGTCGCCTCCTTCTGAAGGAGTTTTACCGAAAGTAGGAAATCTTCCAAAAAGTTTACAGTGTAATGCGTTAGCATATTATGAAGAGCTTTGTGAACAAAATAAATATATATCAGGCTGTATGGTCTAAGACCTATGCATGCCTTAATTGGTGAATCGTAACAACAAACTTGCTTTGCTTTGCTTTGACAGCTCTAAAGTACTCTGTGGCTGTAACTCCATCTTTCTTTCGTATGTGTTCCGTTTCCGTTGACAGATCCTTTTAGGTTTGATCATCAAAAATGAAGGCGAAAGGAGAGGTATGGAATTTTAAAAACCTTGCTTTTCTGGAAATATGTGTTAATTCTGTATCAGTAATATGAAGAAATGTGTTGAATCGTGTTATATTCGTTTAATTAAACGTAATGCACTTAAGTATGTTTGTTGAGCTTTCGGTACACGTTGCCTTACCGTGCGGTTTTGTTATTTTTTCATAATTCTCAGCTTACATTTATCTATAAACTATATTTAATCGACAGTAGTACCTAATGTAATAAACAAATATTACAATTTCGAATGAAATAGTAATCAGTTGCCTAAAATATAATTTATAGGTTATGTCTGGCATGTCGTGTTGCGATTTCAAATCTTGAACTTGTTTTTATTTTTTATGGGTGAAATGTATGATTTCGAATAATCAATTAAAATAATTTATAAACGTCTTTTATATTATTAAAAGTGCTATTGATTTTTTAGTTGAAGGAATACGAAGTAATCGGTCGCAAGCAGCCGTCCGACAATGAGCCCAAGCCGCCGCTGTACAAAATGAGAATTTTCTCTCCGGATCCAATTGTTGCAAAGTCCCGATTTTGGTACTTTTTGCGACAACTTAAGAAATTCAAGAAGACAACAGGAGAAATTGTCTCTATTAAGGTGAATTTCAATGCATATTGCATTTTATATTTATTTTATGAAATGTTTGTCTGATGGGTATGGAAGAATGATGCGAGTCTTTCAATTTAAATGCTCAAAGTTGACAACACATATGTAGCCTTTATTTAAAGATGATTGCAGGTGGCTTGCATTCAGCCAGTAAGTGTGAACCAATTTTTTTCTAAAATTTATTTTTTATAATCATGTCTTAATTTAGGACACATTTATGATACACACAATTTATAGTAAGAAGTATCATATTAAAGTGGAAACTTATTATTTTTCCATCTTTTTACTTAATATAGCCTTAAATTTAAAAATTACATATATACAGTCCCTGGCCAAATTATTAAACGCAGTATAGATATTTTATAATAACAGGTTTTATATGCAATCTGGTTCATTTAACCATATAAATAGTAATTTTTATTATATAAATGTATACATAATAAATTTTCAGTTCTGTTTTATACCCTTTTTTCTTATGTCGCATTTTAACATTATTATATTGGTATTGGAGCATAAACAAGGACGGACTTGGCGCTAGTCATAATATTCTCACGTACTACACATGTGGTGGTGTTTTAGTCATTTGGTTTGCTTTCTTTTATTGCGTAGTTAAAACTACGCAATTATCTTTTTACTTAAATCACAGTATCAAAAGTATCTATAAAATAATATTCAGACCTTTTAGTCATGGGTAAAAAAGGAGACCTTTCACCATATAAAAAAAACTGAAAAGCCGTCATTAGTTCTAAAATTTATTCTGAGAAATATCACGAAGGAAGAAAGTTAAATCTGTCAATTGATCCCAAATAGAAATAATGCAGAATAAAGCCAATTTTCACTCCAAGTGCAGAAATATGTCTAAAGAAAATTTGCTTAGAAAATAGTTTTGCTAGTACGAAAGTGATAAAATCTCAATTGGAAGATGCCGGTGTATAACTCAGCCAGTGCTCACTGACATGCCTGAAAACCTAAGTTGACAGCTGTAATGAAATCAAAGCGTCTGAAGTGGGCCAAACAGTTGTGTGATAAAAAATTTGACTTCTAGGGATAGGTAATTTTATATTCAATTTATTATTTACTTTATTTTATTTAAATTGGTTGCTGCTGTAGATCAGAAAATGGTTTCCAAATGGTGCACCATTTATCTTTATGTAAAATGGAGCTCCTTGTCACAGCCCAGTCAGTGAAAACCTTTTTACAAGAACATAATATCGAACTGTTGGATTGGCCAGGTAACAACTTGGATATGAATTGGCTAAAGATGTAGCCACAACAAAACTCAACTGATAGAAAAAATTATCCATGTATGGTATAATCATCCACAAATGCAACAAATACAGTCTTCCATCAACAGCATGCCACACCGAATTGAGGCTCTTATAGCTGCAAAATGTGACCAATGTAATATTAGAATTTTAAGACAAAATCTCCAAAATTGCTTAAATTGCAAAATATTTGTTTGTTAAATGTTTCATTCACAGATCATATTGATTATAATTAAATCATAGAAAACTTGATTTTAGTAGCTGTTAATTAAGATTTCACATTAAAAACAATGTGTCAAATAATTTTGCCCGGCACTGTATGCTGTAAAATTATAAATGATAAATAATCCTAACTGATTGTGCTATATTCAGCTTTTTGTGCTTAACCGCTTTGAGTTTGAGAGTAGCAAGTGGAAACCCATTAATTTTCATTGGCTTTCATCTCATAATATAGTCTGTTTAATTGAAGTAGAGCTTACTATGTTTATAGTTTATTTTGATTTTGTTTTTTATTCTCAATCTTATTTTGGTTTTTTTAGTGCATTACTTTTAAATTGTCTTTTTTGCAGTTGAGTTTTTGATTTTTTAATTATTTATTTTAGACTGTCCTGACACTTATCTTCACGCACAATCCCTGACGGGGTAGCCAGAGAGAACAGATCGCCAAGTGTCACAATCCTTACATACCTCTTTCACTTCTTTCAGATTCATTATCTTCTTCATACATGCACGTCTAGGTATCCAAGTACTCTTGACCCTCCCCTCTTTGAGCAATTTGCTCACATGGTCTTCGAAAGCTAGTCTCGGTCTACCTCGACACCTTTTAATATTTACTTTCGCGTTATATATTTTCTTCACAATTCGGTCTTCACTCATTCGCTCAACATGCCCAAACCATCGAAGCACACCCTTATAAATTTTTGTGATAAGGTCATCTTTCAAACCTGCCATATTGCGAATCTCTTCGTTTCGCTTTCGGTCGGCCATGGTAACGCCGCACATTTTACGAAGAGATCGCATCTCCACTGCATTCAACTTGCTTTTATGCTTCTTCTGGCATACCCAGGTTTCGCTGCCATATAACAAAGTCGGTACTAACACTGCGTTATGTATTGCAAGGTGTGCACTCTTCACTACGCCTTGCCTTTTGACTAACGCAGTCAGGGCACCATTGACTTTGTTCCCGGCAGCGACACGCCTGTCCACATCTAAATCACATCTTCCATCCCGGCTAAAAGCACTCCCCAAGTATACAATTTCATTTACCTGTTCTAAACATTCCTTCATATGAAAATTTAATTCAGTGTGTCCTGACAAACTGAATTAAATTTCATATGAAGCACAAGGTCCGACAAACATGGCCCATTTTTATGCTCAAGCTTTTAAACATTTTTTTTATTCCTAATTAAATTTAGACATTTATCTTATATATAGTTTTGTAATCCCCTTTTAATGTCCTTTATTTTGATACCCTACTTGATAGGTTTGGTTAATTTTCTTTTAATTAACATATTACTATTATGTGCCGAAAATCCGCTTATATGTTTTTTTTTCAAACAGCTACTCAAGAACACTGGTTTTTAAGATGAATATAATGATATTGTAACGGTCGAGATCCATCCAGCCGTTTGGAGGCAATAAATAATTTATAAACATACATACATACATCCATTCATAATACGCGCGACAAACATAACAAGGCCTTCCTTGGCAGTCGGGGAAAAAGCAAATCTAAAAGAATACCACTGTTTGCTTTTTTTATACATGATTTTAACAGGTGTCCTATGAATGTATTTTCTTATTTTGGTTAGAGGAGGTTGTTATAACATAAATGCTAAGTTATATTAAGGATCATTTTATAATTACAAAAAACTAAAGAGCATAAAGCATTTGTTTCAGTTTGTACTTTAATATTTAAGTACTATAATCCCACAGTTTTATATGGTAGTCTGTCTTTCTGTCACTGATTTTTCTGACCTTTTCCTGCAAAAGCTTAAAATATTACATAGTTAATAAAATGTAATTTAAATACAGACAGCCACATACATACTGGGTTTAGGCTGGATTTAGTGCTCGACCGACGGTGAGCGCTGACATCGGTTGAGCGTAGTTATATCAATGAAAACCTATTAACGGCTACAGTGCAGCACTGATGAAGTACTACGCGCGTACGGCTACGTCGCGCCTACGAGGACGGTCGGTCGAGCTCGTCGGTTGACTGACGCGCTATGGCGGTACATGCGTGCGTTCAGTGCGACGCTGAAAGAGCGCTCGACCCTACGCGCGTACGTATCATCGCGAACAAAAACGAACATTGATACATGAACATTGTCCTCGCAATTTCGAATACAATGAACAAAATTCTCCTTCAATTGGTCTACAATTATTGGGTGCACATGATATCTTCTCCGTTTTTTATGTCGTAATCCTTTGCGTAAATAGTATGCACATATTATAGAGTTAACAAATGGATTCATTTTTCTTCGTACCATCAACGCGTACAGTGTTGACCGTCGGTCGAGCACTAAATCCAGCCTTAGAGTTTGTATTTTTGGTTTAGCTTTGGGAAATTTCAGTCAATCAAATTTCCACATGTCATTTTTCTAATATTATCTTCAGGATTCATCCATGTAGATGATGTGCATAGTTATGTCACTTTATATTAAAACCTTTGCATTTATAAGTTAGGCATAAATTAACACCTAATATACTATTCTTAATGACAGCCGTTGATGTTACCACATTGCATCCCTTGCCAAATGCTCTCATAGAGCTTTTTACTCTTAGATATAAATATTGATTATTACTTTATTGGTTCTAGTTCCTTTATCCATTATTTTCATATAATGAAAATACTTGCTATTTGATCAGTCATATTATTAGGTGTAAACCTATTAATGTAAGGGTGGATTGAATTAAATTTTTATTGTTGTATTTAAACATTTGTATAAAATTATTTTTTCCCTTATTACAGGAAATACCTGAAAAAAGTCCTATCAAGATCAAGAACTTCGGAATTTGGCTGCGTTATGAGTCTCGATCTGGTGTACACAATATGTATCGTGAATACCGCGACCTAAGTGTCGGCGGAGCAGTCACGCAGTGCTACCGTGATATGGGTGCTCGGCACAGAGCGCGCGCGCATTCTATTCATGTATGTGGAAATAATTTATCATTTAAGATATTTTATGTTGATGTAATGTTAACAAAAGTAAAAACTGATATAGGCCAACACATTAGTAAAGTACATTACTAAAGTGGCAATCGGCCGGCCATATAGTTCGAAGAACCAACTGATGGGGAAGAAAGGTTCTCGAGTTACGTACCGGTAGGTGAAGTGTGGGGCAGCCTCCCACTAGATGGAGTGACGACTTACCAGGGTAAGACATGTAAGTGGCTCGGGACTGCTTTGTGGCATTCTCTGAGAATGGTCTGGTGATAGGCTGTAATGATGATGATGATAATGAATGTTAACAAATGCATTTCCAGATGTGCTTTCTGAAACCTGTGTAGTGGTGGGTAAGAATAACTACAACCCCATATCTTCGTGTGGGTGTCGTAAGAGGCGACAGTAGGAAACTGAGGCAGGAAATAGGCAGCAGCATTTTTCTGATAACAGCAAAATAGTTAAAAAAAACTGCAGTTACCAACCCACTCGCCAAGTGTGGCAACTATGGCGATATTGCCATATACCCATATTGCCATTGTTATATGGGGGTCCATGGCGAGAGTTACGAAGAGACCCAGTCCTTGGTGGGTCCACTATTTCTGGTTATGGTGGCGACCATGGTAACGGCGGGACAGAGGGTGTTTTGAATCTCCGGTGGTGGTTTCTTTGCCACCTAAGACGACTCAACCTGGCAACACATAACATTACGCATGCTGAGTACTGACAAGAAGATCCTGGAGCTGGAAAAAGAGATAGACAAGTTGCGACAAAATTCGGCAACTTGTTCTATCACCAAGAGGGCAACCATCTGTCCCAAGAAGGTATCGGATTTATCATCCACAAGTTTCGTTAACAACTATGTAAAGATTGAGAGTGTGTTGACGAGGGTAGCGTACCTAATACTCAAAACCACCAAACTGTATTCATTGAAGGTCATACAGGCTTACACACCAACGAGATGTATAAGAGAACCAAATGTATGAGGATATTTCTAGAGCCATCCATTCATCCAAAACCCATTATACAGCGTTAATGGGAGATTTCAAACGGTGAGCTGAAGATAGGGAAATTTGGAATAGGGCAACAAAACTCTAAGGGGCCAGCAGCTGGCCGACTTCATGGAGAACGAGGGACTCTCCATGATGAACTATTCCAGAAACAGACTCACAGAAAGTGAACCTGGTCGAGCCCCAATGGTTAAGTTGAAGAGGTCATGTCTAATGAAGTCAGCACTCCATCCCCCTCGTGCTCTAAGTCCAGAAAACTTTCAGCTCGAGTTGCAAAACCGTTTTAAGTGCCTAGAAAACTGAAATGCAGTGGACGATATGAATGACAAGCTTGTGAAAACTTTCCGTGCGGTTGGAACTAAGATCTGCAAGACCCCTCACAGAAGAACGCAATAACTCTCCGATCACACTCTTAATCACATGGCTGTTAGACGGGAAATGAAACTGCAGTCTTCAGCAAATATGACAGCATACAGGCAGTTTAACAGACATCTCCAAATGCATGCGACGGGACTTATGCAACTTAAACACAGCTCATATTGTGGAAGCATTTGAGTGGAACCAGGGCTCCAGTCTTTGCTAGAGATCTGTCTGTCAGATAAAGCTAAGCTGAAGACCGAATGTAGCCCCCTTGTTTCTAGAACACCTGAGATTTTGTGTGAGATTGAGAGGTTCTATGGGCAGCTGTACACGTAATCGTTGCCACACACAAGCGTGAGTAACGATCCAAGAGCAAGGCTTATCCGTCACAATTCCAGTGATTCTGGATGTAAGTCTGAATGAGATTAAATGGCTCTCCAGAGTACCTTAAAAACGGCAAGGCCCTGGCCGAGGATAGAAGTACAGCAGAGCTTCTGAAATCAGGTGGAAAACCAGTACTTGAAGTCCTTCAAAAGCTCTTTAATTCCACTCTCCATGTTGGCACTATTTCGGAGTCGTGGAGCAGAAGTGTGGTAGTCTTGTTCTTCAAGAAAGGCGACAACGCTCTCTAGAAAAACTACTCGCCTTTGATTTGCCGACGATAAAGTCATTATAGCAGAATCGCTGGAAGACTTAAGCACTATTCTCAATGACGCTAATAGTGCCTCACAACTAGGAGGTCTATGTTCAACAGTGGACTTCTGAAAGGCTGTAATGAATGAATGAAAGAAAAATTAACAAGAATTTTACTAATGTTAAGGATCTTCAATATCGAAATTACTAAGTCTGCTTCGTATATTACACATTTTCCCTGTGGGTTTTGGTGGTTGATGCTTAGGAAAACCATATTGCCTCTAAAAACTGCAAGCAGTGCTTTGACTAAAGTAAGGTTTTCATATAGAACATGAGTATTATTACAATTTTTCACTAATTTTAAGAAAAGAATGTACTTACTTGTAACATACCTAATATATAAATAATTAAAATGGTTCGAAGGAAGAATCCTTTGTTACTTTGGTTCCGATGATATTCTTTAAGTCTGTCTGAGAGAGTTTTTAGGATCATTAGCTGATAGTGGTGTATTATCGTCCTCTTAATCAGAATAAGATATCTTGGCATTGACTTCACTCTTTGGAACTATCACTTTAGGTGCTTGAGTGATCATATTTTTGGCCAGATTCCCATTATAAATCCACATAATCAGAGTCAGTCATCATATTTTGTCTAGAAAATACTATATATATTTAGATCAGTAAGTACATGTTGTTACGTAATAATTTAAAATTTTTTTTTTTACAACAGACATCAATATAAATTATTAAAAATAACTCGGACCTTGATTAAATTTATATGGCACCGCATGTGAAGCACCAGCTTTCAAATAAAAAAATGTTCATCGAAATAATTTCACCCAGAAAGAAGTTATGAGGTAACGCATATTTAAAAATAACATACAGTCGAATTGGGGACCTCCTCCTGTATGAAGTCTGTAGAAAAGAACTGAAAAGTAGAACAACTACAGATATGAATTCAGAAGGATAATAACGATAACAGTAACAAACATTGTCTTTATATTAAATACATCAATGAACATAGAATGGTCATATAATGTATTCCATCAGTCTAGCAGTTTAGAAAAACGACTATTCAAAAGACGGGTACCGCCTGATAGTCAATAAATATTGTAAATGCTAGGCTATTCTTGGAGCACTTACACTTTTATCCTAAATTTATGGACATGTAGTAAGTTAAGCTAACACGTCATCCAACATTCATTTGTGTAAAACTTATTTCACTTTCATTGCAGATAATAAAAGTGGAAGTTATCAAAGCGTCGGCGTGCCGTCGACCACAAGTGAAACAGTTCCACAACAGTGGCATCAAGTTCCCGCTACCAAAACGCGTCCATCACCACAAACGACTCAACACCTTCGCATACAAGAGGCCCAGCACATATTTCTTGTAATTTTATTGTATGGAAGTATAATAAAAACCATTTAAAGTGGGAAGACCTATCTTTTATTTTATTCATATTTTACGAATTTTAAAAACAAGAAGCGCAAGATGGGCTGGGCTAGCATGCTACTAACAGACGTATAGTACTTCCTAATTGACTGTCATGCAGGCTTAAGGCTTAATATTGTCACGATACGAGCTGACGTGTCATATTTTGTAAATAAATACGTAATTATGCCGCATTACGCCATATTGGAATACAAAAAATGAATTACGAGGTATTAGTAGTACATTGTTGCAATTTCCATTAAATTTTGTAAAGCTACTGATTTTATTTTCATACTTTAATTTGATTTAATAAAAAGGTTGTTCTTGTATTATTTGGTCATATAGTTGTCAGTAGTTAGTAATGTGCACTACATTACAAAATCAAGTTAAAACCGATAAGTATCGTGCCTTCCTAGCCTGGCGTGAAGTTATTAATGTGACATCTAGTGTTGAGTAACGGAATTTGTTCGTCGATCAAATCTTCACCAACCTAGGAATTTGGGAGTATATATGAAAAAATACTGACAGACGTATTTTAAATTGCATATCTCAAACATATTCATTATTAATTTATACTGCAGATATGTAGTTTGTAAATAAAAAATAGTTAAACATCGCTCAACGTCGATACTGACCGCCATATATATAGAGAATTCCTTCGTTATACCGCAAAATACCGACAAGGCTGTCTCGACATCTAGTCGCTAAAAATAAGCAAGGGTTGTCGCAAAAACATTTTTTTTAGATAATAACATTTATTTGTATTCCTCGTAATAATTTATTTTTCTATACAGAGATATAAACTACTTACTATTTTACAAAACTAGTTGCATCCTGCAGCTTCACCTGATTCATCGTGATGGAAACCAAGGCTTGTGCTAGTAGGTACCTACCTAATTTTACTATATTTTACCTATTTAGCAGTATCTCAGGTATTTCGCTTAAAATACATATTGGATAGGAGGTTGAATATAATAAATAAAACTGGTTAAAATTATATTATGTTGGATCTTTTTATTCAACGCATGCCGCCTCGTTACAGATGTGCAACCGACTAATATTTACGACATTTATTATTGCGTTTTTTAATTGCCTTTTGTTGAATTTAATAATATAATGAATACTCATCCTTACATATCCTGTTAAAAGTCGTGATGGAAAGCAATCACATGGTCACTCCTAAATGGGTTTACCGGTATGCTAGCGAAGCCGACCGGTACTACCGCAGATCGCGGGTAGGGAGGGGGGGGGGGACTCCGCCCTCCTACATATCGCGCCCCATCGTTGTTCTGTCTAGTCACCGAGTTGACTCAATATTAGTAGTTATTACACATAATATAATTTCAAATTAATATAATAAATTAATATAATTGTTGCACGTATGGGCCGGCTCGAGCCGGGTTGGTACCACGACCTCACAGAATACCGGCGTGAAGTAGAGGCTCTGCTTCTGCGTTTCGTCTGGTGAGTGCAGGTGGCCGGAGGCCCAATTCCCCCCCCCCCCCCCCCCATCAACATGGTAGCGGAATTAGACAATAGACTACCCCAGGAGGGTACCAGTACCCCTGGAGAATCCCTCGCTGAGCATCCACGACCATGTTATTCCAATCCTGAGCGTGGGTGCTCAGGCTGCCCCGCGTATTCTGGGGGGGGCAAAATTCCGCTCAAAAACAAAACTGCTCGGGGCAAGCTGAGCAACAATACCAAGGCGACCCCTGCCACGCTATCCGTGAATTTCTGCAACATCAGGGGACTTCACTCTAACCTAAACGCCGTCCACTACCATCTCGAGACGGCGAAGCCGGCCTTGCTCTTTTTGACCGAGACGCAGGTTTCCTCTCCGACTGATATTTCGTATCTCTCCTACCCGGGGTACAAATTGGAGCACTCCTTTGTGCCTCGGGCTGGAGTTTGCGTGTATGTTAGAGAGGACATCTGTTCTCGACGCCTCGGCAGTCTTGAAGGTTCGGACCTGTCCATCCTTTGGCTACGCGTAGACAGCGACGACCATCCGCGCGTCTACGGGTGCCTCTATAGGTCCCATAGCGGTAATGCCGAAACAGACCGACTCATCGACCACGTCCAAATGGCTACAGATTCCTTGCTACAACAGGTCCCATCCGCAGAGATCGTGATCCTTGGCGATTTTAACGCCCACCATGCCGAATGGCTCGGTTCACGTTTAACCGATCATGCGGGGAGATCTGTTTATGACTTTGCCTTGGCATATGGTCTGACACAACTGGTTACTTCGCCTACGCGGATTCCAGATGTGGAGGATCATACACCTTCCCTGTTGGACCTTCTGCTGACCTCTCATCCGGACGGATATCAGGTTTCTGTCGATGCCCCTCTCGGCTCTTCGGACCATTGTCTGATCCGGAGTATGGTGCCACTCACGCTCCCTTCGCGGTTGCGTTCTGCAGGTTGCCGCCGTGTTTGGCATTACAGGTCGGCGGATTGGGACGGAATGCGGTCTTTCTTTGCATCCTACCCATGGGGGCGGGTTTGCTTCTCGCCGGATGATCCCAGTGCTGTTGCTGACTCTGTCACTGATGTGGTGCTACAGGGAATGGAACTATTTATTCCATCATCTGTGGTACCCATCGGAGGCAGATCTCAGCCTTGGTTTGGTCGCTCCTGTAAGACTGCATTGCGCAGTAAGCAAGAGTGTTATCAAGCCTGGGCTGCGGCTTCGGTGACTCGGGATGTAAACACCAGCACACTTAAAAAGAAGTATAACTTCGCCTCCAGGTCCTTCAAAAGAGTTATTGCCAAGGCAAAGTCAGAGCACATAGGCAGAATTGGCGAGAAACTAGTTCGCCTTCCTTCGGGAACCCGTGCATTCTGGTCTCTCGCCAAGGCTGTCCAAGGGAATTTCTGTAAGCCATCACTACCATCTCTGCACAGGGAGGACGACTCACTGGCCCAAGACGCAAAAGACAAAGCCGACCTTTTAGGCTCCCTTTTTGCGTCCAACTCGACTCTTGATGACGGGGGGGAAATACCGCCGACCATCCCGCGGTGTGAGTGCTCCATGCCGGATGTGCTATTCTCACAGCGCTCAGTTCGCAAAGCACTTCTCTCCCTGGACATCCAGAAGTCGAGTGGGCCTGACGGAATCCCCCCAATTGTGCTGAGGACGTGTGCTCCGGAGTTGGCACCGGTCCTAACGCGTCTTTTCCGGTACTCCTACTCCCAAGGCGTAGTCCCAAATTCATGGAAGACAGCTTTTGTCCACCCGATCCCTAAAAAAGGCGACCGCTCAGACCCGTCCAACTATAGGCCTATCGCGATCACCTCCTTGTTCTCCAAAATAATGGAATCCATTATTAACTGCCAGCTCATCCGGTACCTTGAGGATCACCAGCTGATTAGTGACCGCCAATACGGTTTTCGTCGGGGTCGATCAGCTGGTGATCTTCTGGTCTACCTGACCCATAGATGGGCGAAGGCAGTAGAGTCCAAGGGGGAGGCGTTGGCCGTTAGTCTGGACATTGCGAAGGCCTTTGATCGGGTTTGGCACAAAGCGCTTCTTTCGAAGCTGCCTTCCTATGGGCTTCCCGAGAAATTGTGCAATTGGATCACCAGCTTTCTTGCAGATCGGAGCATCAAGGTCGTTGTAGACGGTGCATGTTCTGACTACAAGCCTATTAACGCTGGTGTTCCACAAGGCTGTGTGCTATCACCAACGCTGTTTCTTCTGCATATCAATGATATGTTGCTAACTGGTAACATTCATTGCTATGCGGATGACAGCACTGGTGATGCTCTATACACCGGCCGGGCCAATATTTCTCGGGAAAACGTCGCCGAGTACCGGAACAAACTTGTGTCTGAAGTCGAGTCTTTGCTGGACAAAGTCTCGGATTGGGGGCGACTAAATCTAGTCCAGTTTAATCCTCAGAAGACACAAGTTTGCGCGTTTACCGCTAAAAAGAACCCCTTTGTCGTATCTCCTCAGTTTCAAGGCACTCCCCTTCTTGCCTCAGCCAGTATCGGTATCCTCGGAGTCGACATATCGAGTGACGTGCAGTTTCGTGGTCACTTGGAAGAGAAGGCCAAATTGGCCTCTAAAAAGCTTGGCGTGCTCAGCAGAGCGGGACAGTATTTCATGCCGGCACACCGCCTGCAACTTTACAAGGCGCAGGTTCGGCCTCACATGGAATACTGTTCCCATCTCTGGGCAGGGGCTCCCCAGTGCCAGCTCCTTCCACTTGACCGCATCCAGCGCAGAGCGGCTCGAATCGTCGACGACCGAGCCCTTTCCGATCGGCTCGATTCATTGGCACTGCGAAGAGATGTTGCATCTCTTTGCATTTTCTTTCGCATCTACCATGGGGAATGCTCTGAGGAATTGTTCGGATTAATCCCAGCCGCCAAATTTCACGAACGCACATCGCGGCAGAACTCCCGATACCATCCACACCATCTGGATGATTGGCGGTCCACCACTGTGCGATTTAGAAGATGTTTTCTTCCTCGCACAACTTCCTTGTGGAATAGTTTACCACCAGGGATTTTTCCGGACCGATACGACTTAGGGACCTTCAAGAAAAGAGCCTACTCCTTTTTAAAAGGCCGGCAACGCATCTGCAATTCCCCTGGTGTTGCGGTTGTTCATGGGCGGCGGTAGTCACTTACCATCAGGTGAGCCGCATGCTCGTTTGCCCCCTCTCCTATAAAAAAAAAAAAAAAAAATTAGAATTAGGTACTTTTTGCAATATGAAAAAACTGCACCCGTTGTGATTTGAAACTCGATGACACCATATAGAATTTAGCCTGCGTGAGAATGAGATAGAATACAGTATAGTATGCGATAGTAGCCTATTATCAGGGTGCGGACTGCGCATTCGAAAGGTTGCGGGTACGAACCACATGGATATTTTATTTTTGCTAAATCCTATAGATGTATACAATTGTCTCTTTTCAGTGTCGCTTTTTCGTTTCATTCAGTTTCAA